GAGGAAGCCCCCGCGTTTCGCCGCGCTAGACCTCGCCGATCGCGACCAGACCAACCGGACCCCGAGTCCGAGAGGCTCTTGCGGAGCCAGGAACTGCACCGAGGTAGGAGCTGCTCGTTCTGCGCTACCATGCAGTGCTCTACAGTGCTCGGAGCTCTCGGTGTCATTCGTGCTTGCACCGAAGCCTTTGTGACCCCTTCGGACGCGCAAGTCGTACTTCGCAAAGGTTTGGACGGGGCCGCCCTCACCGAGCAGCTCCGCTATATTCCGCTTACTTATGATCGCAATAAAAGCTTGCGTTCTCGGGAAAAAAATTGCGGGACCGCTCTCCGCGCCGCCGACGATGTTGGCCGCCGCCATGTTCTCAGCTGTTCACTCGCTACCGCAGCGAGCGCCTTCCGATAATCCTCCCCGTTCCAAAATGCGATGCGCTTTGCGCATTATGCCGTTTTCATGACCGCATATTGAATGCGGCAACTGGATTCAATGCGACTAAGTCGCATTCGTGTAAACGTGGCTTATGTTCTTTTTCGACATGTATGGTGTATGTAACGATAGCGGCGGTGAACGATGGACGTTTTTGTTGGAAGATGGCGGTCGTCTTTCTGCATGTATGATTTGGGTATACCGGTGGTCCTGTGGTATAAGCGTTTTGTTGGAAAGACGGCAGTCGCCTACGTCATCGGACGCAAAATCATACCAGCCACACAGAATCATATCGGCAAGCAAAGTGGCTGCCAGTATAGACAGACCCGGAGCCATAGCGGTGCCAGTATCTCCAGTTATGCAGAACGACAAACCAAACTAGCTGCATGCGTAACACAAAGAAATTAATGTGGTGTCATACCAGAACTGTACAAGCAGCAGGTTTGTTTCTTGTACGTTTTTCCAATAGGGTTGTAAATTTCGTCAGGCTCTCCAGATTCTTACAAGACACACAGAGCTTCTGGAAATCCAGATAGTCTGGTCCCCGGATCCCGGGGCACGAGGACTTTGTGGGAAAAAAGGCGGCCCACGCCTTGGCTCGATATTATACAATCCAGGCGTTGCTGCTGATCGATCGAGCCCAGTTGAACCCGGATGAAGGCGTCTACACAAGAGGTCCAGAGACTTTACATTAAAGAAATATGGCCGTAAAGGAAATCTTATGGGTTCTTCGGGTTGTTCAAATTTTGCACCCTAAAAAGTTATTTTCAGCACCGCTAAAAGTGTTCTGTGTGAAAAAAAAAACATTTTGGGGTTCTTTTAAGCTCCTTTTTGATGCGAAAGAGTTCTTCATCGCCCAGCTGCTTTCCTAGTTCGCCAGAGGACGATAGTGCTTCAATCCAAACCGTTCTTCACGACCTGAAAGAGTTCTTGGGGTGTCGAAAACCCTTTCAAGAACGAATTTATAGAAGGTGTAGAACACTATAACGTCTCGGGAGAAAGTTTTACCCACCATCCCGCCCGAAGCTATCCAGGGAGAAAGCAGTCTTTTTGAGGCAGCTTGAAACCAAACCCTATCCACATGGTGCAATTTACCGCTTGAGTCATCCAGACTGCTACGAATTTGACTGCATTGGCATACAAGGTGCCCACCACACTCTACAGCATGGGGGGGGGGGGGGGATGCCAGGGCAGCACGGCGATACAACCCATCGCAAGACCCACCACAGAGTAGTGGGAAAGCCGGCTGACCAGCGTGGACCCTGGTGACTAGGTCGAGCTGACCGACAGGGCCCGGCGGGCAGCCAAGGACCATGGTCTCTTGGACTGAGGAGACCACCTACTATGAGACGAAGACAGCGTCTGCCCTTTGATAAATAAAGTTTTCCCTTTATCTCTCTCTCTCTCTCTCTTTGTTCTATTATCCTATTCCTTACAAGGAAGTAAAAAAAAACGTTACTTGGAATTCTTCACTGTGTTTGTCCTTCTATGTGTCCTCTCCTTTTGTCTTTGTTTGTAAGGCGCTGTTGCTGCTAATATGAACTTAAAATGGGTTGAGTGACGTTACCCACGCGTTGACAACAGGCGGGACCTAAGAGGGCAGAGCAAGAAGAGCCCTAAGGAGACGGCATCCTTATCTTGTTACGTCATTGCTAGTTTATGGAGTGAGTTGCAATGCGAGAATTTCCAGACTCGTTTTATATACTTGATTCTTCAAATCGCGAGTTGAAATTTCGTGTACACTTCCACGACAAGGTCCTGGCACATGCCACAAGGATTTTATATTAAACTAACGATTTTCATTTCAGGCTAGAGAGGCCGTTTAGGTGGACATTCGCCACGGGAAAACATGTTTTCTTTATTTAAAACAGGTGAATGAAAACTTCACAGTACATAGTGCCTAATATTGTTTTATATAAATCTGTATTGAGTTTCTATATAGCTTATTTTTCTATGTTCTGGACGCAATGTACAAGTGAAGCAACACATGTTCTTGTGCACCCATGTGGCAAGGTAAGAAGCCTAAAAGAACGTAATAAAATAAGCTATCGCTCTCTTCGTGGGCCACTGACGACGACGTATTTAAGTACAAATAACGATAAAGAACAAGATTCTATTCCACCACCATAATCAAGACACCAACTCTGCCATACCGCTCGCGTTATACACGACCTACAAAGCAACTAAATAAGTTATTTATCACATCTTCATCGTATTCACACGTCCCGCAAAATCAGTTATAAGGAAAGTGAGCACTCACTCTCACAACACTCTCGCGGAAAGTAGTCGATAATCCACCAGTATCGTCTTTGGCTCGATGCCCCAAATATCACTTTCACCGGATCAGGATTTGTTCCGCGCATCTACGTAAATGCCGTAGCCACAGAACAGAAGAAAAAAAAAACACTAAAATTCGCTGCTGTCGGTATATGCTGATTCTCGACGAAATGCGTTAGCATTTAGTGCAGGTGTTCAGACTCAGCGAGAGAGGGAAATTCCAATTTGCAACGGTCCGCATAATGTTGTCTTCGAAGAGCCACCCAAGCAGCACCAAAAAGTGAATTTCGATCGGCCGACGGTTGGCCAGTGTCTGGACAGCTTGGCCACTTTAAGTGCTTGGCCACCGGAGACATAAACAAGGCCGGCAAGGGTCCGGCCACAAACTAGCTGTTTTTAGCTTGTCCGCCGGAGACATAAACACTGCCGGCAAGCGCCTGGCCAGAAGTGCTCATTTTCAGCTTGGCCGCCGGAGACATAAACACGGCCGGCAAGTGTTTGGCCAGCAGTGGTGATTTTCAGCTTGGCCGCCGGGGACATAAACACGGCCGGTAAGTGTTTGGCCACAAGTGCTGATTTTCAGCTTGGCCGCCGGAGACATAAACACGGCCGGCAAGTGTTTGGCCAGTAGTGCTGATTTTCAGCTTGGCCGCCGGAAACATGAACACGGCCGGCGAGTGTTTGGCCAGCAGTGCTGATTTTCAGCTTGGCCGCCGGAGACATAAACACGGCCGGCAAGTGTTTGGCCAGCAGTGCTGATTTTCAGCTTGACCGCCGGAAACATAAACACGGCCGGGGAGTGTTTGGCCAGAAGAGCTGATTCTCAGCTTGGCCGCCGTGGACATAAACATGGTCGACAAGTGTTCGGCCAAAAGTGCTGATTTTCAGTTTCGCCACAGGGACACCCATAATCTAAACTTTCATCGCGTTGACGAAACTTTGGCATAACGACGGGCAGCGAGAGAAGCATCATGAGCGAGTGGATGGCAGGATATTAGTGCGTGCATCGCGCGAACACTGTTAGCGCAAGCAAACGATCACCGTTTTATTCAGTTTTTTTTAGTTACCCAGTACGATGGGTGGACCCGAGTGTACACCGACGGATCGGTGGACCCCTCCGGAGGCACAGCAACAGCAGCGGCTTTCTTCGAGGCAGCAGCTGTGGGTACCAGTGAGCGCCTGGATCACCAGGCATCCTCCACCACGGCAGAGCTAGCAGCCATACGGCTCGCCCTCTGGGGTATTCGGACGGGCTGCACACAGGCTTTACGCTTGGTCATCCTGAGCGACTCAAGATCAGCCCTCGAGCTGCTATCTAGGCTCGAACGGGCAACGCCCCTGGCCCGTTCAATCGCACAGGATGCGGTCGAGCTTCAGCAAGAAGGCAACAACATTGCCTTCCAATGGCTCCCGAGCCACTGTGGCATTAGAGGCAATGAGGTCGTTGATTTTCTAGCGGTGCGGGCTCACAAGGACCCCGAGCGCCCCCTTTCAACCGTTCCCCGCTTCTCAGACGCCAAACTCCTTGTGAGAAGAGCCATCGCCCTACAGCACCCGGACCCCGTAGTGGTGGCGGGTGCCTTCCCAGCTCGGGTACCCCGCGGCTTCGACCGCCAAACTGCCGCAGTAATGCACAGATTACGGACCGGAAGCGCCTTCACCCCGGCGTGGATAAGTCGCTTCAGACTCAGTGTTGACCCCATATGCCAGACCTGCGAGGAAACGGCCGACGCCGAACATCTCCTCCTGCACTGCAGTGATCACGAAGAGGAGCGCACCAACCTCCGTGATGCTTTTTCCCGCCTAGGGCTACCTAGTACCACCTTGGAAGAACTCATGCGTCCAAGAGCCTCACGAGCTACTACGGACAGGGCACTCAAGAGTGTAGTCAGCTTCCTGAGGAGCGCGGAACTCCTCGAGATCCTCTAGGACTTCCAAGAGATCTGGGTTGCTTGCGGCTCCTGGGGCTCTTGAAGATCTTACATCCAGAGGTTTTCAGGAGTTCCAGGAGTCGCGAGTCAACACACTGAAGAAATCCTTTTCCCCCTTCCCCCTCTCTCCTCTATCTCTTTTTTCACTTAATTCCCTTTCCCATCAACGGTGACAAGTGCGCCCAGAGCGTAACTAACAACAACGTCAATTTCCTAATAAACATCGCTTCAACAACAAACAAGCCAATGCATTTAATAAGCACTAGGGCTGGGCGTCGATTAAAATTTTAAGCCGATTAATCGCCACCCTTTAATCAATTAATTAATCGATTAATCGGTTGATTTTAGTAAAAAGCAAAAGTAGACATTTTGTCCTTACAATTTGTTTTATTGTATGATAAACGGCGCATATATACAAACTTAATTGAGAATAAACGTTGATGTAACGCACTCACAGATCACAACCCCAGCTGCGGAGGCAAAGAAGTTTGTTGACATTTTCCGGCAGGAGCGAGTTTCTTTGTTTGTTGACGATCATCCCTGCTGCGCTGAACAGACGCTCGCAGGGCGTTGAGGTGACTGGGACACACATCACCCTCTTCACAATTGGCACAATTTGAGGAAACAGGGAGCCCTGAGCTCGCCACCACTGTAGGGGGTCCAGTTCATCGTCCGTCACCTCGGCCATCGATCGATAAAGCGACACTTGGCAGGAGATGGTGGGCTCTTCGTTTTCCTCCGAGAAAACGTATTTTCTTTTTTTCTTGGGCGTCAGATCAGTAGAACCGTCGTCCGAAGACGCATGTGTTAGCTGGGAAAGCCTTTCCCACACAAGTTCGCGGCGATCTTTTTCGATGCATGCGAGGCTCTTGAAACGAGGATCGAGACACGTTGCCAGTTCATAATCGTTGTACCGCGGCCACGCGCGAAGCCTCTCATCGATAGAGTCCACAAGCATGGCCTTGAAGCGGCAGATGAAGGCAGGGTCACAGTCATTTGTCCTCATTTTATTCTTTAGCAGTTTTAAGGCTGGAATAAGTACAGACCGAGTAACGTACTTGTCCCCTCCAAGGAGCTCAGTAATGTCGAGCAGGGGCTTCAGAACTTCCCGAAGCTGCTCCAACATGTCCCAATCGACGTCTGTGAGGTGGGGAATCGACGATTTAATGGTACTGCTGTCCTCCATGGAGCGGCGCAAAGGCTCCTTCAGTTCAAGCAGGCTGGTTATCATTATGTACAGTCGCCGGCCATATGAGCTCCCCCGGCCGAACGCCGACTGGATCAGCGAAAATCCCCCACGCGGCGCGTCGAGTTGCCGCGTTTTGGGAGCCGGGCTATTGGGCCCAAACCATTCCGTTATCAAAGGGGTGGACGCATAGCTTTTATCGGGATTCCAGCCTTTAGAAGTGTGAATCACAAAAACACGGCTGATTAAATTGCCGTCTTCGGGTGTGGGCCAGTCTTCGGAGATGATGTTATAACTGCTGATAAACTGGAGCTTGCTTTAGGCGTAGATAAAGCAGCAGTGTTCGATCGATGCTTACAAATGTAAAAAAAAACATGTTTGATATCATATTAGGCATGACAATAAGGATCCCTCGGCAAGCGAGAAGTGGCCGACCATGAAGCCATCGGTAAAGTCATCGTGTAGATAATTACCCTTGGCGAAGCAACACGCTACTGAGCGCAGAACAATAGAGTCTCCTCGATAAAACGCGTTCATGATAAGTGCCTGAATCTTTATTCTGCTTCGACACAAATCTTTCTTTTTCTTATTTATAGCATACCCTTATAGATTAAATAAAATATTTCAAAATCACTTGTCATTGTCTAGTCTAGGTTTAAGAAAGATTGTAAGAAAGCTTGTGTGCAGGATTACTCTTCGGGTAGGAAATATTTAAAATGACAAACAGGTTCTGCAAATAAAATTGTGGCATAGAACACGTCAGAGATATCATGCAGTGAAGAATTTCGATAAGCCGTCTGCGTTTACCTACAACCGCAGGTGGGTGTGTTATCGGCCGTGTTCCAGATTCACGTTCCAAAACGCGGAATGCTATTAAACTTCCTGCGCCCACCCCTTTGACAACGGAATGGTTTGGTCCCAATAGCCCGGCTCCCAGAACGCGGCAACGCTCGACGCGCCGCATGCGGGATTTTCGCTGCTCCGGTCGGCGTTCGGCCGGGGGAGCTCATATGGCCGGCGACTGTACGTGCTGTTCCACCGTGTTGCGATGTCCTGCTGAAGCTTCTTCTTAGGTGCTCCGAGTTCAGCGGCATGTTTTGAAAGGACGGCCTGGTTGTTCGAACTGTGTTTAAAGTGACCCACAGTAGGACGACAGGCGGCTAGCAGTCGCTCCACGCCCGTCACGCTGAGCGCCTTGTGGACGCACAGCTGAAGCGTGTGAGCTGCGCACTTCAGACTCTGAAAGTTTGCTCTCTCCACCCCAAGACCGATGTTGCGGGCATTATCGGTACAGACAGCTTCTACCTTTTCAACGATTCCCCAATCTGTAGCAGTCTCCAATACCTCACTGGCACATTGTTCTGCCGTATGGCGCTGAGGTACATGTCTCACCTGCAATGTTGCCAATCGAAGCATCCAGTCGTCGTCGATCCAATGCGCCGTTATCCCGAGGTAGGCGTCATTGGCGATGGAGGTCCAGAAGTCCGCTGCTAAGCTGATGAAGCTGGCTGCCGAGAGTTCTGCCTGAAGACGCTCCCGTCTCGAGGTATACAGGGCATCCACCTTGGCACTCACTGCACGACGGGACGGCGGCTGGTAAGACGGAGAATCCAAGGCAATCTGAAGAACTTTCGCTAGTCCGTGATCTTCCAATGTTGAGAGGCCGGCTAGAAGAAACAAGCCAAGATGTAAGGGCTTGTGCAATAGTTTCTTCTTTCTTCAGAGAAACCGGCCTCGAAGAGAAAACGTCGATAGTCGTCTGCTTTTTTGCAGATGATTCTTGTTGCAGCGAGATGCTTGGGTGCTTAGCTCTGAGATGGTATTGAAGCGAGCTTACACTTCCGCTATATGCGAAAGCTTTTTTGCAGATGAGGCAGTGAACTTTCTTTAAGTCAGAAACTTCGCCCGCGGAGTTTACTTTAAACCCGAATTTCCCTGAAAGGTTGCCCTTCATACTCCTGTATTCGTCCATGCCTGCGCAGGGTGTTGTGATGAGATACTTCTCAAACAAGTGACTGCGGCGCGACGTGAAGGGAAGGGGAAAGACGGGGCAAGGGAGACGGGGATAATTGGGGAGCGTCGATCCTTCGAGGACGTCCCTGAAGGTGTTATAGGAGTAGTACATGAAGGACAAAAACAGGATGAAACATCCTCGTCGTTCATGTAACTTTACCAGCACGCTCTAATTCCACGACGTCCTTGAAGCTTTCAACAAACAGAAAACCCCCGGCGAAGGAACGACCCCTTTTTACGGGGAAAAGGGAAACGAGCCCATCCGGCTGCGCGCGGCGCCAACTCGTCAAAGACGACGAGAGAACGGGGGAACATCTGGAAGCACTTTGCCACGGGCAGTGCGGGTCCGCCAAGGTCGTTGCGTCAAGAGGCAAAAGCGAAGTCGAGAGAGAAATTCCAACCACACAAATAAAAGACAGGGTCGAATACTGAAGCAAGCCACGACCACGGCCGGCTTTGCACCACGCTGAACGAGCGGAGAGACGAGCGAGGTCACGTTGTAGTGACCGCAAGGACGGAGCATAACCCACAATGGGGATCAAGGCAGCCTTCGGAAGAGCTCTAGCTTTGTCGCTGCAAACCCGTAAGCCAAACCCCCCCACCCCCCCCCCCCCCCCTGCTTGCGTGCCTTCAAAAAAAAAAACTGCTGCGTGTGCTCAAATCATGACCAAGGTCACCGGACTTCCGTAAAGCCTACTTTCATTCCGCTTCTGTTTTCGCTTTTTTCTTCCAATCCCGCGTGACTCACGACGAATGATTTGTTTGTTGGGTGTTACCTACGAGGTGAACAAGGAGCAAGTTTGTATGTTCGTTTTAGAGGGAACGGCACCAGGAGAAAGGAAAAAAACGTATATTTACTTACTTTTGTTCGCCTCATTTTAACCGATTAACTGGTTAAAAAAATTGATCGCGATTAAAGCATTAATCGATTAATCGGAAGGTTAATCGATCAATTGCCCAGCCCTAATAAGCACACAGACGAAAACCACGTCAGCTGAATGGCTTAAGAACGGTGTCCTGGTTGGCACATTCTTTGCCCGTTTCTTCGCTCCCCGCGACAATGAGTGGAATTTTTCGTATCCCTTCTGTTCTGCATTGAATGTCTCGGGGTTCTTTTTCAGGCACTCAGCGGGTGAATGTCTCGGGATTCTTTTTCAGGCACTCAGCGGGTCACACACAACGTAAATTCGCCAAAATTGAAGCCCGCATGCTAAAAGAAACTGTCGCGACCGAGTCGGTGATTCGTTCAAATAGACATGATACAGTTGCTCTCAAGTTTTGAGCAGCGCCCCTGGCAAGGAAAGTCGCTTTTAAACTTGGCTAATGCATTGTATACTAGGTTTACATCATAAAACAATAAATTGTGCAATACCGTGTATTTCGATGGCTAAAAGAACAGGATAAACGAAGAAACAATTCACGTGACCTCCGTAAGCAGACGACGCACCCGAGGCCACTGGGGCGAAGGGTGCGTCGTCCCGCCCCCCCCCCCCCCCCCCAGGAATTAAAATTATGGGGGGGGGGGGGGGGGGGGCGGGGCTTAAATTTTTAGGGGGGATGGGGGGCATTGAGAATAGAGGAGACGTTGCGAATCAAGGGGTGCCTTTATAAATACAATTGGGTGGAAGGGAGGGGGTATAGGAAAATCCCTGCCGGGGCCCCTTTTTAGTATAACGCCGTATTAATACTGGCGGCTGAACCGCATTCACAAAGCGGTTGTGAGCGCTGTTGCTTAAAGAAGCAGCTCAAATTTACACCCATTTGACGATGAAAACAAGCGGATGCGCTTCGCGGTGTAGATTCAAACGCCAGTGTTAATGTAGCATAATGGCCAGCCTACACTTGCGATTCCAAGGACGTATCCGCCTCGGCGACGAGCGTTTTTTCGTTCCGGGTGGCATTTTCCGCTCATCGCCGGCGGATTTTCCGGAACGGTCCGAGGGCAATCTTCGTCGCTCAGCGACGTGTTTCTCCTGACGCGAGCTAATCAGCGCTTGCCGGAAGTTGCGATGCGTGGTGCGTTCTTCCGGTTCTTCCTGTTTGTAGCAATGGCATCGCTCACTGATCGATACAAATTCACCTGCCAGGACGTGGAAGGAGGCAGCGTGCACGCTCAGTCTTTTTCGCGGCATGAGCGAATCACCACCGCCAACAGCAGTGCTGTTTCTTTTGATGTGCTTTGCATCTCCTCCTACATAGCAAGTAGGGCGCACGGGAAATGAATGGTCATAACCCTTTTCTCGCGAAGTTGCCTCTTTTCTCTGGGATTGACCTGCAGGGAATCTAATTTAGGTACTTGGCGAAAACGTTGGCTAAACATTCGACCGCTGTGATTGGCCGTGGCCCGGCACCAAGGTCAAGCGCGTAACTGGCCAATCACGACACCCGAATTCCTCGCCGACTTTTTTGTCAAGTGTCCAGATTAAAGCCCTGGCAGATAAAAAGGGCCGGAGTATGTCGGAATGTTCGAGAAGTCCGAAGAGGCGGCGACGACGGGGCCGAGGGAGGAGCCCAAGAGAGGGAAGCTTTAAAACTGTGCTTCAGGGTCGAGATACATCCTGTGTCCTTGGAATCAGGAAGGGAATTACGATAAAGTAGGGGAAGCCTGGCAAATTCGGCGAATATGTAAACGCCGTATTGGTAGACACCCTGGTATAGTGTCTAGAAAAAACTGATTCAGTACACAGTGCAACACTGCACAAACACACGACAGCTGTGTTTTTTTTCTTCTCCTTTTTGAAGTTTAATGGTTCTCTTCAAATCAAGTGGTTTGGTGGAAAAATTTAATTTGGGGGCACTAAACTAAGCGTTCATATTTTATACCTACACATTGCCAAATGAAGTATGAGGTTTTTTTTCTTTCTTATTTTCTAACTAAATATGTAAAAAAGTAAGAGTGATTAAAAATATTTGAATATACGCTAAATGTAGCTTGAAATCTGACTACATTTTACATAATCACCATACAGTTTAAGGCAGTTCATATGACGTGGTGCAAGCTTGTGGATGCCCCCCCTCCTCCCCCT